AAAATCTTTAGAAACAAAAAAGATAATATAGAATATATAGTGCTGGGGTCCGCGCGGACCCCAGGTGTACTGTTTAGGGTTAAAGAAATTAAAACGTTTCGGCCTTCCCACCAATGACCTTTGCGAAATCTATTTATTATATATACGACCAACCGTTGAATATGCTGCCCCTGTATGGAATGCCAATATAACATATCAACAATCCGATAAATTAGAACGAATACAGAAACGTGCGCTAAGAATAATTTTAGGCCCTCAATACTCATGTTATGATGAAGCCCTTTCCCATTTTGGCCTCTGTACCTTGAAAACTAGACACGGCGGTCTGTCACTACGGTATTCTTTCCCATTGCTAGGCGCGTTCTAAAAGGTATCGGATTACAAGACGCTATTTGGGCCGAGTTTGGCCTACCAGTAAAACACTTGAAAATAAACAAGAAGGATTTAATGGTAAATTTCGTCAAATTAAAATGATATTATTGCCTTAACATCCTTTCAATATTAGCTGTTTATGTTAAATTATTGATTTTTCAAAATTTCGCTCCGAAAGACGATTTTTTTCGGATTTCCGACCACAAGTCATGTCATGTTTTTAGGCAAACATCGTTTTAACCTGGCTACGTATATTACCCCAGATTCCCGATTTTTATATTTTTCGACGACTAGGAATAAGATCAAAAATCGTGTTTTAGGGATTTTTTAATTTCTGATTTTAAGTCTAGTTTTTGGCGACATATTGGTGAAAAAATGATTTTTCTTTACATTTTTTGCACTAAATTACCCATAATTCAAAATTGAGGCCATTTTTAAAAAATCCCTAAAACACGATTTTCGGGACAGCCATAACGGTCATTTTGAGCCGTGAATGGGGTATGCTTGACTTTCCATGCTTGCAGGTTAAAACGAGTTTTGCAGACATGTCATGTCGACCAAAAGTCTGCATTGTGTTATTCATACTGGTGTAAAGAATCATAACAGTATTCAAGGTCACCCAAGGATACGACAGTAGCTTCGCTACATGTTACATGTCCACAAAAAAATGATAGCGGACATGTACTGTCCAGGAATCTGTTTTTATCTATATAAAAGTGTTGTTTTTTATCTGTTGCAAGGCACGGAGGCAAACAGGCTTGTTTTGCCGCTTTATTGTAAATGACCGCAGGTGACCCCGAAATAGAACGCGGGTTCGATTCGAATTGCCCAGATCGAACACGATCGAACACAGTTCGGGTTCTATGGCATGTGGGAACTTTGCAACCCAGATTTTACCACCGTGAGACGAGAATCGCTAAGCCTTAAATTTGCCAAATCTCTGTTGAATTCGCCGACGTTTAGAAACTGGTTGCCCCCGCTACGGAAAGATGTTCACAACAGAAATTTAAAGGGCAATAATCAGCTCTGTATTCCGATGGCAAGATCCAACAGATATAAAAACAGCCCCATTCCATACTTTACTGCACTTCTGAACAACGTCAGGTAACCTATCAGTGTGTGGTAATTTTTATTATGATTATTGTCTAATTATTTTAATTATTTTGCTATGTATAGTAGTTTCTATAGATTTTATTAAGTGTTTTATTCATTTCTTGTAACTGCCTAATATGCATAATTCAGCGACTTGTACCATGTACAAGTCGCTGCAATGTATTTTAGTGTATTGCTTTCAATTGAAACAATAAACCAACTATAAAAAGTTAAAACCCTTGAGCTGCTGGATTTGCTGACCAGTACGTGATCTCAATCAATCAATCAATCAATCAATCAATCAATCAAGCAAGCAAGCAAACAATCAAGCAATTAAACAATCAATCAATCAATCAATCATCAGGGCAGATGCTTAGTGGCTGCAGTCATGTCCGATCCCTCCAGGATGTTCTGTTTTCTGCCAACACAGAACATCCAGTCAGTTCTGCTGACCCCTAAACTGTCCAGCACGTTGAAAACCTGGTCCTCCCATCTGCTCCTGGCACGGCCTCTAGGGCGCCTCCAAGTTGTATCTGGAGCTGTGGTGATCATTTTGATCACTTCCTGGGTGGGTGTAGCTCTAGAGATGTGACCCAGGAGGTTTAGCTGGTGCTTGGTGATCCTCTGACTGATCGGGACCTGGTCTGTTGTGAGTGATCTCAGTGCTGGGATTTTCAGGCCCCTTTAGAATAGGGTATACTACTTCTATCAATACTCACAATAATTTATACATCAATAGGAAGCTAAGCGTCTTTACTTTCTAGAAACATCATGCAGGTTTGGCTCAGTGCCAGTATTAATAGTTTACAAGGGCAATAATGCAATAAAACATCATTTTTGTGACATCATTTTATTTTGGTATCCAAAACCGTGTATGAAAAAAAATATCAAAGATACAAAATTTCAAAAGTCTTGCTAACACCAGGATTACATGAGAAAAGATTGTATCCATGTATTATTACATGTGAGTTAATGACTACAGACTGTCCTGGGTGCTGAACTGACTATTCAGCTGAAATGCTTGATATCTACCTCAACATGGTATTATCCTTTCTGAGGCTTTTTTAAATCCTTTTTTTTTTCATATAAGTTAAAAGCTTACAGCTTGTTCTTACTTGAGACGTCTTTATCGACTTCGAGACATAATCTTCATGATCAGTGAACTCATAGATATTATAAAATATACTTTCTCCACAGTGCTTTTAATACGATACACTCAAGTACAAAAAAACACTTTTTTTTATATACAGTTACTGGCAATTTCTGACAACATAAAGATTACTTTCATTGAAAAAAAAAAGAATCGAGGTATTATTAGCGGTGGATTTTATGACTACAGACTGTCCTGGGTGCTGAACTGACTATTCAGCTAAAAGGCTGATATATTACAACGACGGTTTTCTCTTTTCTGGGGCCCTAAAAATAATGTACATAATACTTCTGGTCCCAATTGCATTTTGCATAGTTTCCTTTGAGTTAATTTACAATGCTACTAGTTCTACAGTTCTAAGACACTAAAATCCTGAGCCATAATATGTCCAGAACACGATCGAAATTACAAATCCGGAAGTTTATTAATTAGCTGCAATACCGAGGATAGCCGCGAGGGGGGGGGGGGCAAAGTCTAATCATTTCAAGCTTTAGCTACAGCTTAAAACACGCCCCCCCCAAAAAAAAAAATCCAGCTACCCGGTACACACACACATACAAGCACCCACACACAGACATACACACACACACACACACACATACGCACAGACATTCACACACAGAGACACACACAAACATACACACACACACACACACACACAAACATACACACACACACACACACACAAACATACACACACACACACATACACACACACACACACACAAACATACACACACACACACACACAAACATACACACACACATACACACTCACACAAACATACACAGAGGCATAAAGTGCTATTAATTTCAACCTTCATTTTGGAATTACTAGCAAAAAACTCAGTGATGACACTTGGTTTACATGGTTCCTCAGCTACAAGCCTGAGGCTATGGGTGGGCGTAGGCCGCCTTGCTTAGGTCGTCCTGACTTAATTTTATGGATGACATCCGCGCGCGCATTGATTTTCGCCTGATCTAAATAAAAAAAAAAAGATCACGTTCACAGAGCCTCTGGCCTGGCTCTAGGCCTGGGTAGTCCATGATAGTTATCGCCAATACGGAGTTTTGGTAACTTTGGAGAACACCGGCTACCGAAGGTCCACGACTCAAGAACTCAGTATATAGTTTACGTACAGTGCCTATTCATAAATTCCGCAAAAAGCCATCTTGTGCCGTCGTATATGTCGCTATGCACTGCCGCAAATTCACGATACCAGCCAAACCCTGTGGTTTAGTAGCATTTTTATTTTTGGCCGGAATTTTTTTTTTATTCGCCCGCGCGCACTGCTGGCTTGGGGGCCTTCAGAGAATGTCATCCATAAAATTAAGACGGTGTGGCCTTATCACACATCTAGAGTCAAAGGTGAGTTTTACATCCACAGGGGGCACTACAGATTAACATGGCCTGTCAAGTTTTGGGTTCTTAAAGACGCTTTCAAGCGATATATATGAACTTATTTCTCTTCAAGTATGACTTACGTTGGAAACACCGACCAAACAAACTTTTGTTGGTCACACTAGTCCTGTAAACAGTCTGTGACTGCTGTGTCGCTCATAATTACTGTGTTTTTTTCGCTCCATTAGTTGGTAGCTGAACACGTCGAGCAAGGTCATTTTTCACGCGGCAACTTCAAGCAGAAAGGATGTCAAATGTTAGTAACAGGACCATTAAAAAATTAGTACATGTTGATTATTACTAAGTACGTAATGCACAGAGAAATATTGGACTGTACCTCTGACCTGTAACGTCACTCTGGAACATAGTGTTATGTAGGAAATTATCGTAGACCTCATAACGCTTGTTATTATATCCACGCCTACGAAACATAACCACACCTTAAACTTTAAAGGTCACGCAGACAATGAGCTATCTACAGCTCCCTATCTCACCTGACAACTCACGTACTCAGTACATAAGAGACACGGAGGTAAACAGATCTTTGATTTTTCCCTGGTCAGTCTCACAACTTGTTATTTTTCAAAACTCAACTTTAAGTACATGTTGTTTTCATTGCGTTATCTGTTTGACACGTTTAGCCGTTTAGGTAAATAGTACTACCGCTTGTTTTGTGTTTGCTGGCGGGGTCTCCTTGTACAGTAGACTGCGTTGTTTTGCTTTATACCCCGGGGTGGGGTGGGCAAATCTCGATGGCGTACAACTCCCGGGAGCGCTTAAATCTAGATTGACGGCATAACTCCTTTGACCTGCCGAGCACACTCGCTGACGGCCCCGCCAAGTTTTCTACCCAGGATATTGTCTTCTAGACTTGGACCCAATATTCATTGATTCGGCTTTTGGCAGAGCGTTTCTTGCCTTTAGGAATCTCTACACTTTCGTGTGTGATTGCAACTTTAATGTTGCGTTTTTTACAGGTTGGCGTTGCAGAATTAGAAGCGAAGACAGCATGAGTCAGTGTAAGATGCCCCCTCTTGAACCCGGACCGGTCATACCAGGCTATGGGGATCCTGTCTTCTTCAACGAGACTGAGAGAGCCTATGGTGCTTCCCTTGTGGTAAGAAGTGCTAATGTTCTGTCTTACTTATTACAGAGTTTCACGCAGATATAGACAGAGACGTAGCAGAGAGATTCTTACGGAATTTTGACACCAATTTTAAAAACTCAAATAATACTCCTATTATGTTGCCAGATAATGAGGGAGAGGGGATGTAGCCCTTTAGAAATATAGATAGTTATAGATAGATATGTATAGATAGATAGATTAATATAGATAGATATTAGATAGATAGATAGATGGATATATATAGATAGATAGATACATAGATAGGCACATAGATAGCATTGTCAGATAGTATTGTTAGATACTAAATAGACAGGTATATAGATAGAGAGAAATAGACCAAGATAGAGATAGAAAGATAAATAGATAGATAGATAGAGACATACAGAGAGAAAGAGAGACAGAAAGAGAGAGAGAGAAAGGGAGATAAAGGAAGAGAGATTGAGCCTTATTTCACTATGATACCAACAAAAACATAACACCAAACTAATCGGTACTATAAATTGTTACTATTCAGTTCCGGGGTGAAGTCGAAAAGCGCGTCAACAACGGGGAGGCTTTTACAAGCTACAGGCCGGTGTCGTTTCAGGCTCAGGTGGTTGAAGGAATAAACTACAAGATCCAGGTACTATTTGTTTGTTTATTTACTGTCATGTAATCAAAGAAATAAAAGAAACATAACATAACGGAAGATATATGCGAAGGAAGATAAAAAGCCGTTACTGGCCCTGTCCGCAATCTTCCCCCGACAGCGCTAGCATAAATGTCAAATATAACATTTCAATGTCACAAACTTCTTTTAAAGGGGAGTGTATCTTAAACCTTGAACAAAGTAAACAGGTGTATGATGAGTGTCTGTCACTGTGTGATGCTAAAGATTAACCTTGCAATTTAGTACATAAGAGTACAAAGCATTTGGTGCTCTCAAACATATATATATAGTAGTGTCAATTTAAGGAAGTCATGTAAAAATAAATGATTGCAATGACTAAACACACAGCATGGTCTGGTAAACAATAGACTCACCCTCTCATTTTCTTACATTTTCTTCCTTTTCTTCAGAATTAATTTTGGTACGGAATAGTTTTCTGTATATATCAGCCCATTTTTCAACTGCCTTATGGTTTGCAGTGTGGTCAAAAACTTTCTTTTAAAACGAACAAAAATAATTGACGTGGTTGTCAGCTATAAAATTGAATAAGCATGGCGGCGGTCTTACACATATATTTTTCTGTTAACACACACAGGTCGAGGTTAGGATCTGGCTGCCAGCACCAATTGAACCGCCGGAGATTGTGCAGAAGACCGTTGAGATGACGGTGTACTGGGGTCTCCCACCGGCCATCCCCAAACTCACGGACGCCAAGATTCTGGAACCTGTGGAGAAGTAGATATAATATACACATACATCGTGATAAAAAAAAAAACGATGAGGCAGCACTTTGCACCATATACCAACCCTGAATGTAGACTCCTCCGATGGACATATTGTTAGTTCTGAACAAATCATTTCTTAGTTATGCATACCCTTAAAACACTTGATTGTAGTTCGTAAATTACCTCTTTGGCTAAATTATTACATGCACTTGCATCAATTTTCATACCTTAGCATAATGAGCATGATCCATGACCTTTACCGAGCCTGGATAAACAATAGGAACTAGCTATATACTACTGACTAAAATGAACTTAAATTTTAAACATTCTGAGAAACTACAACTTTCCATTTAACGCAGTAATTATATAGATATCATTTTGAAAACATGCAGACGTTTCAGGCAGCATGTACAAATGTACTTCATTTCATCAGTTACACTGGTCGTTCAGGTTTTGTCTTGAGCATTTGCATATTATCAACCAATACACAAACCTGCTAAATGTGATATTTCTCTGGTGTCACTGACGAAAGCTTACCGTTGTAGATGGTACCTGAAACGTCTGACCGTTCCCCAAATCATATCCAGTTGCTTGAGTAACTGTTTTGGCGCAAGTTGATTGATATAGAATGACACATGGGAACGGCTAATTATTTCTACATGACTGGCTATTGTCATTTGTTATGAATAGGGCATGAGAATGGCGGGGCTGTTATTTAGACACATTGCTTGCTTTGCATGTACGCAGAGGTCACTACCGTTCAGGTTGTCTTGTCAAACTCCTATGCTCTGGTCTCTACCGGTCTAACAAGTTGATTCAAAAACAGTAGAATATATCCAGATAGGGAGAATAATTGTTCGAGGGAGTTGGCAGCCTTATCAATGTTTCCATTCTGTACACGGTGTATGTCATGTTATGTTATGTTATGCCTTCAACAACAGCAATACATTAAAAAGGGCTAGTTTAGAGCTCAAACACAATGCTTTGCCATGTGAATTGTGTCCAATTGTTTTACCTCCATGAAAAATGGAGGTATTGTTTTTGGCGCGTCTTTGTGTGTGTGGGTGGGTGTGTGTTTCCGCACATTTGTAGTCAGCATAACTTCAGAACGCCTTTATGGATTGTGATGGTTTTTGGTATGCTGGTAGGTTTTAGGAAGCCAAAGGTCAAGTTAAAATATGGGCCTCCTAGTGAGTGATCTTGGTACTTCAGCAGAACTTTTGTATTTTGAGGAAAAACAGATGTGCCGGTTATGCTACAAAACACCAGCTGTCAAAGACTTCCTCTAACACAAAACACGTGTTACCCGGTTTAATTGACGAGGTTTTCCCTCTTGAATAATCTACATGTACTGAGTTGACAGCCTGACCTATTTCAGGACAAAAACCTGTGTTATTTTGTTCTGTACTGTAGTGTAGTGTGCTGTGTAAAAAAATTACAAATTAACCCTACCTAGACCGGGCTTTTTTTGACATGGGGGGACCGGGGGGGGGGGGCCTAAGAACTCGCG